AGTAATTATCGGAACCTAACTTCTTAATTTCCATTGTTGTTATCGTATAAAAAGGCATTTCCATGGCAAAATTTAACTCTTTTATTTAGATAGTCTCATAAAATTTCCGAAGAAAATATATTTACTGGTCTGAAATTCTTAATTCTTTAAATACTTGCTTATCCCATTTTATACGTTTGTTAAGGAACTAATTCTGGAGAAGTAATGAGTTTTAAACTATTGGTATTGTATTGTATACCAAGTTATAATTGTTTAATAAACATCACCACTTATATTTTATAAATACTTTTATGTAAATGTACGTCGGTTACGAATCATATTTGTAAAGTTATAACTTTTATTATATTTTACGTAACAATTATTTTTAAAAAGAAGTATTGGCTAATAAAAAACCTCTTTCTATACTTATGGCACATTATTAGATTCAAATTCTATGTATTGGGTTAAATACTGTTGTTGGAGGAATCAACAACTACAAATGGCTATAGACTTTTTTATGATTAAATACAATGTATAAAAAAATATTAAACAAAATGTCTAGTAAAACCGATAAGTTTGATTTTTTACATAAATATATGTTTTTAGTTTGGTAATCCATGAAATTCGACACAACGCAAAAAATGACACCGTGCTTTGACGTTATCGATTAGCTGTAAGGTCAATTTATGAAGTCAACCTATCATAAGCGTAGAAAGGTGTGGGGGAATGGGATGAGGATGGAACATAGATAGATTGTCATTGTGTAATTGTCGTGAGTACTTCAATTTTTTAGCTAAAGAGCTAAATTTGTATCACACGCCTAATTCAGCCAGTCACACGACCTGTGAAAATATTCGTCATAGTGCAACATTTGTTCGATATCGCATTGGATTTTTAAGTCAAGATTAAATACATGTTTGAACCGATTTCGTTCACTGGAGATCGAAAACTGAAAACCATCGGAGTCGAAAGATATAATTGGCAGATAACAGCGAACAAAACTTTTTTGTTAAATGTTAGCTTATTGCTAATATTATGAACAAAAAAAATTAATTTTTATTGTATACAAATAAATGGGATAACAATATTATATTCGACCGTTTTCAAGTAAATAAAAACGAAACGATTGTGTTATTTAATTAAAATAATACCCTAATTGGAAACCATGTTGACACGACCGCAAAAAAAAGTGCTACACTGTATTATTTTTAATTTGTGTTAATTGGCCAACGAAATTTCCACCGGTCGAGTTATAATAATTTCGTTGCTCTTCGTGCAGCACAAAAAACCGGCAATTTTATATTCAACACGGTAGTACTTTTATTCAGTTAGGTATATTACGTTGAAACTATATTAATTAGATAACTTGTATGTTAATTAAAACAACGGTGGGTTAATGGCGATTTTGACTGGATGGTACCGACAGATAGTGCATGACATACATTCAACTATTCTCATATGCCAGTGTTTATTTTCTATACACAGTTATGTTATCTATCCGGTGTTTTTACAGTACAAGAAAAAAATGCTCTACTAGTATAATTTTAGCATAACAAAATATTAATAATAATAGCTTCAAAGTAGTATACCTACACGTTAGTAACTTTTACAGTTTGTTTAATGCTGAAAAAAAAAAAATACAAAGCATATGAACTAGATACATATTATTTTATTATACATTATATTATTTTAATTAAAAATGTTTTATTTTACCTTGTCGTTCAATGCAATAATTAAATTTCGTCCCTTCTAGATTGAATTTAAGCTAATACCGTATGTGTACTATGTTTTTTTTTTATTAGGTGAAATATTATATTTACAACATTTGAAACGAGTTTTGCTAACGTTGCTTGTATACATTTGTGTCGGTATATTTATTTTCATTTTGTGAAGGCAATTACACCCACGTGAATTATATAATTTATTAGACTTCCTCGGCAGGTGTGCCATGCAGGTTATATTATTTTCAGAAACGCGGACGAAATAGTATTGTTCTTGTGTTGTATTTTAATCATACCTACAGTTTTCGAAATCTTAATGTTTAATTCGACACTTTTTTTTTAAGCATACATTTCGAGTAAATAATTTATTGTCTGTCTATGTACGCAGTATCGCAACCCTATAACGAAATTCTACAGTTGATAAAATATTAAACGGCTTAGCATTGAATCTAAAGGTCTTGAAAATTGATAATTTTATAATCGATAACTATGCTATTCTTACATAATGATTAATCACTTCTCTCTAGAAAAAATACTCTCTTCAATCCTTCATAATAATTATAACCCATTCGATTCGTTGTAACATAATAATACTATGTTTCAAAAGCCGATAGCGATTAATAATATACTTTGGTTTGTGCAAATCAAAATAGTAAATATTAATATCAGCTATATTTACTGCATTGTAAAACGAAGAGAGTAATGAAATATCAAACATTAATCGTTGGCATTTAGATAGTAAGTATTACAAAATTGTGTTTACTACCTACCGATAAAATAGTGTATTTGAGTTTTATTAAACATTTTGTAGATATTGTATTGTTATTATTATTATTCCCAGAAAGGAAACTTTACCTAAGGAAACATTTTCTAAACAGTATATTAAAGCTTTGTATTGCATCGGTTGATTTGTAACAAGAGAAAATATGTTCACGTTGCAAACCAGTAGAATGCTAGACAGGAATAAAAAAAAACTACTTAAATCATATTGCAGAAGTTGACGTAGGCGTGTCAGCATAAAGAAATTATTTTGCAGCTACAAAGGTAAATGAAAAAAAGGGAAACCGAATAACTGAACGACTGTTGAGTGTTGATGGTAAAAACGGTGACAGACAATCAATCACAGAGGAAAACATTTTTGAGAGGAACTAAGAGGGATGCAGCACGTTAGCAGTATGTCAAGCTAACGATATTGAATATCTGACGGATAAGGGTGTGATTTTTTTGAGAAAAAAAGAATACTAACGGAAAAACGCAAATACAGGTATTTTCTGTACCCACGCGGTTTTAGCGACAGGACTCCAACGAGGACCATCTTTCAATAAAAACCTGGCTAAAATAGATAAAAAGATTTTCAAGAAAATGAATCCGAAAATATACAATACCGCTAGGTTGATCGAACAAATCCGACAGAGAAAGTATCATAATAATTCACCAAACAGACCATTAAATTTTATTGAAAATGTATGTATAAGTAATATCAAAATTGTTATTATTAATTATATTATACAAAATTATGCAATTAGTTGGTATATGGTTGGATAGTGTCAGGCGGGACGATTGGACATAAATGTCATTTATTTTGTAGAAATACCTAATAATTTTTACGATGTCTATTTTTTTTCCATAATGCAATAACGACTTAATTTTTAAGTTTCTCAATTAGATTTTAAATGATTTATGATTAATTATGGTTTCATTTTTAAAAATACATTTACATTTTTCTAATTTGTTATTGTAATTTCTCCAAGTGACACCGTTAAAAAATATTTTATACTACAGTAAATCATTTTTAATAAACTCTGGAAATAAATAAAAAAATATACAAATGTGAATAGTGTTTAATATCGTAAAATAATATTAACTAAAGAGTCTCCAAAAAGGAAAACTATGAAGTTGTAATTTTTTTAGGGGGAATGGGTGTCACATCCGTAATGAATCACCGTGTGTATATAATTGTTAATAATAAACTATTTTAAGCGCATCTCTAATGTCGAATAATATTTGTTTTAACTATTTGTAAAAGGCCATATCCAGGAATAATTAAAACTAAATGTCATAATTTAAGTTTACTATTTGCAATTAATTTATTGCACAAACACCATGCAACTTATATACCTAATCGAAAGCAACCAACCCTTCACAGCCGTAAATCCTTGACTGAATTCAAGGCCAATTCTGTATTTGACATCATACATAGTTTGACGTGCAATAATTAATAAGGTGGGTCTACTTAATAATACTGTATTAACGTTTCCCAAATATTTGCTCCAAATTTACTTTCTGCAACAATCTACAAAGTCATTGTTTACGCAAAACTAAATAAGACGCCCAAACCCTGGTCGGGAAAATATAGGGTGTCTACTTTAAAAAGGAATTGATTATTTATGAGTATAAAATTGAACCCGATATTTTTCATTCGTTAAAAATAAATAAAACATTTCCGAAGAAACGTTTATAAAAATAATTATTGTGTGCTTATTTCAAATTTAATTTGCTTTATTAATATTTTAATAACTACGGTTTATATAATGTTCTTATGGCTGTCTAACAACCATACTCCGTATGAGTCTTAATAACAGCAAATTACCAATTACTCAATGGGTATAGACGGGCACTTCATTTTTAAAACGGTGTTAGTTATTTAAGTTAAATATTTTACAGTTAAGTCGTTTTCATACCTGAGAATCGGCTATTAATTTCAATTGTTTTTTATTTTTAATGTTGTTTTTGAACGTTTTCATGGTGAATTATGCAAAAAACAAATTAATGTGTATGGTCATATTGTTTTTTTATGTCATGTCATTTTACTCTAACAGTTGTTTACATATCTTATGATAGCAGCGTTGGGCCTTAAAGGCCCGTTAAGCTTGATGGTGATGAGTTATTTACATGTTTTTGTGTACAATTTTTCATTATTATTTATATTTATTATATGATTTTTAGTAGGACTAATAATATTTTATTTTAGTCAGTATAAAATTATACTATGCATATTATGTTGAAATATAACAATATTAAACAGTGTACTTAAAACTTGATATAACCCTATTATCTCTATTTTAAAGTTCGCATACAGTATTGACAAATAGCTACTGATACAATGTCGGTATTAAAATGTTTGTGAATTCATTTTTAAAAAAAAACATTTCTTTCGTTCGTTCATAAGATTTAAACCTTAGTACAAAACATTTTTTAATAAATTTAAAATTTGCAAATATGTTTGTTTCTTAAATAATCACAATTGTAGAATTTAATAGATGTAATAAAACAGTTTTATTGACATATTATCTAGTCGATCATTTACTTGCGTTTAACAAAATATTTTTAATAAACATTAGTACTCGACTTATATATAATATACGAGTATATATAGTAAACAAATAAGTAATTAATCTATTATTATAAATATTAATCTATATATGGAATGCAAAATTAGTTATGTCGACAACATATTTTTCGTCCTTTATGTTATAATTTGTCATCTATTTGCAACTCGCGTTTTCGATAATCTAGTGTACTAACTATGAGATACAATAGAATGTCAAAAGGTTTCTAGAAAACGCGACATCTTGGACTTGCTTGGCCGTGAAACACTAAAGAGTCTTAACGTTTTGTACGCTTGGGCGGAACCTCCGGCGAAGAGTTACAGGAGGAGGAGGAACACGATAGTAAAATAATTGTAGTATTGGTTTTAATGATAACTGTAATAGTGTAGGGTTCGATGGATTAACGCTAAACTATACAATAAAACGTATGGAATCTATAGGCGTGGTAAAAAATCATTGTTTGCATTTTAACCATAACGAATCAAATCAACTAGCTTTCGCTTAGCATACACACATAAGCAACTGCGTAAACGGGTATTCGCTTTTTTTTACTCTCTCTCTCTCTCTCGTGTCTCCCGGTTCTTGCCCTGCAATCGTCCTGTCCCGAGATATCGAATCTAATACTTCAACATATTTTTTTGGGGGGTTACACAAACGTTATGGGTTCGTCCCGGTCCGAATCCTGGATCAGCGGTTCGTTAACGTCTTCCATGTTGCACATGGATACGGCAGTCATCTCTTCGCAGTCAGCCATCATGGGCGACACAGGAGCAGAGTTCACCCTGGGGAATCCGGGGAGCCTGACCGGAGTCTGAAGGGTGTTAGCCACTGTGGGGGAACGTTTAACTCCTTGAACGCTTTCGGCAGCCCTGGTCCCCGAAATCTGACCCGGCGATACGCCTTGATCGTCGAACTGATCTATGCAAGGACACGATACGCTTAAATGCCGGTCGCAACAGTACTCGTCTTCCTCGGCAACACCGGAAGGCCGTCTCCTGACAGGGGTACCGTCGTCGTGATGCATGGCGAACCTCAACTTCTTGGGCGACTCCAGACTGCAACACCTGCACAAAATACCAAACACCGTGGCCATGATATTATAATAGCCATACGATCGGATAAACATAGACCAGAGACCACAGAGGATCGATAAAGGGGAGTTATATACATAATATAGAATAATTATTATAGACTATATTTAGAGCAAATCTGTAACGTTCCCTAGTAGTAATTTCAAATATATTTCGGGGAAAGGGGCCCATCCCCACTGGTTGCACCGCTGTCTCTAAATCACCAAAATATTACAATACAGACAAATATAATAAACGAATTAGACATGACTATAGTTCAGAGACATTATGGCCAAGGGAGTTAGGGAGATACACTTCCCTGGTCCGCCTGGAAATTGGTTTATCGAGGCCGGTCACTTTTATGCACCTGGTAGGCCAGGATTAGAAATACATTTTATCCGACTCGGCTTGTACGCTGCGAGAGAGAAATAATACTTCTTTCGAGACCACGGTAACTTATATTATACGAGTATAAGGGTGGTCTGTCCATTCTCTATTGTCTATGATTACTTTGTACTCTGAACTAGCTATATAGCCGTTCTCCGTAGTGCGTACTAAATCACTGAATATTGTGTTGGCGAGAGACGCGTTTAACAATGTTTATAGCGCCGCTCGGACAGTCCATAGCGTTATTAAATTATATATGTTATCCGGTAAATTTTGTAGCCATTTGTATTTGAAAAACGTACTGCCAGTGTCGCGATCTCGACAGAAAAAAAAATAACCTTTTTTGTTGACTAGAATTGAAATTGCATTACCGGACTGCGCTATAAAATATTATTAAGAGTCTGCGTAAAACCTACAAAATAATGCACTCGGCGGGTAGTTCAATAATATATCGAATTGCAAACTCTAAGTTAGGTGTAGGTACGGGTAATTGAATTATTATATTCATATTCGAGTGAGTGATTGGCTGATGCGTAAGAAGTCGGAAATATGTAAAAAAAATGATGCCACAGAATTATTTGGCCGGTGGAATTTAAAACGTTAACGCGAGGGTAGCCGTAAAAGCGTAGGCGCCGAGCGAAAAACCGTGTTTTATTCATAAATCCATAATAGATAGGAAAAATAATAAAAACACACAGTCATTGTGCGAAAGCAGGCGTTAAGAATATCTGTACAATAAAAAGGTAGTTAAAAAAACCGACGTCGTCGTCCGGACAAATATTATGTCAGAGCGGTCCATTAGAAGGCCTAGTAAATCAACGTCACAGCCATCCGTAGTCAAACAACAATGGGTAGATATATATATATAGTTCATTGCTCGCACGCAGTTTGCCCGGCAAATTAGCGAAATGTCCCGAACTTTGCTGCGTAGCTGGTAATTACCGTGTAAATATAGTTTAGAGTTTAGTTATAACTTATACTGCTGTGTACACTCTACAATATACCTCGACAACGGGCCGTTCATGGTGCTCTTGGGCACCTTCAACGAGCTCCTCGGACCTCCTTCCTTGATGTTTTTCTGGTGTTTGGACGTCTTGCGGTTTTTGCCGCCCCCGCCGCCGTATTGCTCCTTTCGCCGAGCCCTGTCCTCGTCCCTCTTCAGCCGGTACAGATGATCTTCGCCCACCAGCCAATAGGTCCGCACGTTGCCTTTGCCTTTCATCTCGACCAACCCTCGTTCGTTAGTCTGATAACCGCCGAGTCTCTCCAAGAGCGTTCGACATTCGTTCGAACAGTGGATCTTCAGTGCTAAAAATATATTCGAATAAAACGATTCAACTCGGTTGCACGGATGTTAAAATCATACTCGCTACACATTGTTAACGGACGGTTGTTTAACAAACCTTATTTAAAGACAATACATACAAATAGGCACTTTATATGAAGTGGTGATAATCAAAGTGATAATACGAGTGATTTTCCTTAAAATTGTACAGGTCAGCAAAACAAATACAGTAAATACAGTATCTTCTCGCGGGCAAAGGTCATTCATTTTGTTATTATCTCTTTTAGAAATCGAAGAAAAATGTTTGAAAACGGATTCATTGACAAATTGTATCTGTTTGAGTCTCAATGCGTCCTACTGAGGTCTATTCAATCCATAAACTGCTATTAAAGACCCCCTTTAAAATATGTTAACTTTCTCAAGTAACCATAGAGCTGTTAAGCAAATTTCCTTAGAAAAAATTGTAAAATCCCTACTTATTAAAACCTAATCCAAACCGCAGTTACGCGATATTGAAATCCAAATTTTTGTAACACATATTTCGAAACACGAATTATTTTAAATCATGACAGACTCCGAGTATTTATAGCTTTTAAATCATATAAAATGTAATTAATTATATTTATTTATCTATGGAAACTTAAAGTATGTCTTTCCCCAACGAAAATTCACGTTGAAAGTTGTATTTAATTTTCATTTCACAACTATTAATCCCCGATCTCATAGAAATCAACAAACAAAATCATAATTAAAAAAAAAAACTATTTAATAAAAAAAAATATTAAAGTTGACACACTAACCCGATCCTGTGGATTCCATCCGACTAGCCGTATTCACTGTATCGCCGAATAAACAGTATCTTGGCATTTTTAATCCTACAACTCCAGCACATACAGGCCCTAAAATATAACAAAACAAAATGATATATATATATCTATATAAAAACACGTATAAGTACAAGAATTAACTAGGATAAATAAATATAAATAACGGTTCCAGGCATATACTATAGAGAAAATAATAGCATAATTTTTATGATATTATAAAATGTATTATATATTATTATTAATTATTACATTTCGGTTTTGTTGTATGTGCAAATGATACCGACAAAAGAAATTAATTAAAATATAAAGTAGTTTATGTCCTATGGAAATTTATTAATCTATGTATAAAGTAAAATGATGGTAAATATTATACAATAAAGAACTTAATAGAAATAAGTTTCAGGAAAATTAATTAATTTTGAAAACAATTTTTCTAGTAAACCTATAAATTGGTCTACACTCGAACAGATATTTTTCACGAAACCGTTTTAAGAAAATATATCTTGATAAAAAATTACTCCTCCGGGAAATCATACTCCGACATTATTAATATTCCGTTTAATCACTTTCATAGCGGCGGTTTATGTAAATTTATTATCAGAAATGCGAGTAAATAATTTTATTTAGGAATGACTCTTGCCGCCCTATAAAATACAGTGATCTGTTAATAGTACTCGAACTGGACTAATGAATAAAACGTGAAAATGTATATACACGCGACTTAACGAAGCTTTGGCGCAAACGAAATGCCGTTTTCAAGTAGAAAAATGAATGTAAATATTTTATAACTCTTTAGTTGTGATATTTTGTGCAGTACGTCGAGGCTATTCTTTTTGCGGCGAAGACAGACAGACTATTTTACACACACGTCGGTTTTTTTTCGTAGGTATTATATACTTTATACTAACCAGAGTGTATTCCGATTCTCAGTCTGAGACTGTCGTACGGCCTGTGTCTTATTTGGAATCTCTTGACGGCTTCCAGCAGATGAAGCGACATGGTTGCTATTTCGGCGGCGTGCATGTCGCCGTTCTTAATCGGTAGACCGCTGACCTAAACGAACAGTGGCAAATCCGTTGCCGGACGTCCGTTGTTAGACACGACGGGTAATCAGTATGCGACGCTTTGGGGAGCGTCAACGATGATTTGTCGAAGGAGCGCAAACGACTTACCACCATGTAAGCGTCTCCGATGGTCTCCACCTTGTATACGTCGTAGTTCTCTATTATCGAATCGAAGCACGTGTACAGGTCGTTCAAAAAATCGACAACCTATAAAACAGCGACACCGTCAGGTTAATATTAAGCGCCGTCTGTGTGTTGCCGCGAGGCGGTTGCATACTTGAAAGGGAGTGCTTTCGGCCGACATCGAAGTGAAACCGACAATGTCGCTGAAGTAAATGGTAACGCAGTCGAAATTTTCCGCTTGCACTTTGTGGCCTCTCTTCAACTGTTCGGCCACGTACTTTGGCAACATTTCGTACAGCAGAGCGTCTAGAACGTATCGACCGCGTATATGGTAAGTATACTATATCAATATACTATGTCAATAATAGTAAATCAAATCCGGATCTAGATCTAGAACTCCAGTCTGATTTCCTGACGTTCAATTCGGTAAATCCGAAAACTAGCGAAATATAAAAACAGTTTCCACCCCTTCTACGGGACAAAGGGTTAATGATATTTTTTTGGTTTTTCAACGTTTGTCGATAGTACTCTATACCTTAAGAATATTCCATAAAAATTTGCAACTAACTCAACTATTTAAAAAAAAAAAGGTAATATATAGCGCCATAATTTCTAGTTGAAAACTACTTTACTGCTTTCGGGTACTTTTCTCGATTATAAAATGCAAGGGGTGAACTTTACAAAAAAATGTTCCACAATTATTAAGTATTATTCATGAACGATTTCTGATCCATACAGAGTTGCTACATGAAGAAATCGATTAACCGGTTTAGAAGATATTGTAAAAACATATTGAAAATTAATTAAGTTGTAAGAAGCTAACGATCCGATTAGCGGTCAAAATAATATAATTGTGCAGGGCAACACAACTAAGGAACAAAATAAGGGAAAATTAAGATTTACCAGTTTTCTTTTTTTCTTCTACCAGTTGGTCGGTTCGTTCGTCGACCAGTACCTCCAAATTGTTTGCGTACTTTTCCATCATTGCCATCATGTTGTCGAAAATATTTGGTCTCCTGCAAATTACCACACACGCGCATAAGACATAAGTTGTGCATCAAATATTTGCAGCAACAGTCCAAGGCGACTTCAAGCGATTCAGCTCGAAATCATCTCATAATACTGAACCTGGATAGACGCCCGTCTCTTCCAAGTAATAATTTTCCTTATTTATTCGTACTAGATTTTAGTTATAATTTTATTATAAATAAGTTTAATAAAAAGATGCTCGAGTTATACGCACTGAATTAAATACTTTACACTGTAATAGTTAATTATTTATTTAATTTCGATTATTGTATTTTGTATAAAACTAAACTCATTGGCGTTATTTTTGACAGTGAATTAGGTTTAGAAGGCTATCGAGTATTTCGGTTAGACAAGAATTCCAAAACTTGTTCTTATCGGAGAGGTTGTAGAGTACTTATTGTCGTTATTACATTCAAAATGCTAGTCTTATCAGTGCCCACACATAATATTGAATACGTTTTTGTCGAGTTTAGAGTAGGTAATCAGAAATATATTTTAGGTGGGATTTATATTCCAGTAGCATATAATTATACAATTCTCACTTAAGTTCAGTTACGTACGTCCGTTATAACTATGCAGGACATGGATTTATTATTTCCGGTGATTTTAAACTACCATCAGATCTCTATTAAAACTCATCTTTTGGTTTAATTTTTTCTCACGCGATACCACAATCAGAATCGAATTACTTTGGTTACTATTTTCTTGATTTTCGGCAATGCGCCCGTTCATCTAAATCTCTATAAGATATTTGGGTTTCTCTTCGGTTACCTTATCATATTTAACCCCCCCCCCCCAGGACTCTTATCATCTGTCTATATTAATATTTTTTGGTTAAAAGATAGTTTTTAAATTTTAAGATTGCTAATTTTGCGAATAATTGCTTTTGAATTGAATACAATTAATTATTCTCAACCTATGTAAGTATTGGTATTTTAGTACAATGTATTCCATGCTTTCGGACACTTTTATTTGTAATAAATATTATAATTTTTTTAGCGAAATCAGAGGGGTTCAGCGAAGGGCCAGTCAAACAATAAGGAAAAAGGCAAGACATACGGAATAATTTTAGGTAACTCACATTCCTTTTCGCATTGGTCTGAGTTTCACTCGAATGGCCTTGAAATCTGGACGGTCGTCTGGATTTTCAGCCCAGCAATCCTCCAAACAGTCTCTGACGAAATCGAAGTTGTTTTCAAGCATTTCCAAAGGGGGTCTGAAATAAATTGTGGTTTATCGAACAGTTTTTATGATCACCAAGAGTTTACAACATTACAAACATTTTTAAAACCTAATGTATTCATTCGATGGGAAGCGTCTAAATAATACTGAATTAACGATACACAAGAAATAGCAATTGACGATATTTTTAAATTTATTATGTGTTTTCATCTTGTGTACAAAGGATATTACAATTTAAAAGTAGGTAAAACGGGCAATTGAATGCGATTAACGCACCTAAAAGGTTTCGATCCAGGTTCTTCTTGTTGATAGTAAATAAGTTTCCTCAGAATATCCGACACTCCGAGTCCGTGATTTTCCCCAAACGGACCTTTGCGGCTATGGAGTTCGTATAAGATTATAGAAAACGAATACACGTCTCCTTTTTGTGTGCCGAACGAATTTTGTATTGACGAGTTGTAGCAACGTAAGAGCTCTGGTGCGATGTACAGCAGACCTACGAAGAAGCACAATACACTTTATTATAAACACATTTGATCAATTGGATTTTGCCGTGTTTTCGAATTGCTGCAAACGCTATGGAAATAATGTTGCACCTTCGCACTTGCAGTCGATTTCGTCGTCTTTTTGGAGACGGAAATCGTGTTGAAGGAAATGATGTGGAAAATCTTCAGATTCCTTTTTGAATTCTTGAAGCCCAAAGTCGGTGAGCTTCAGGACCCATCTTGAGTCTACCAAGCAGTTGGACGCCTTCAAGTTGCCGTGGTACCTCAGCGCCGAATCGTGCAAATACAGCATGCCCTGAACAATTATTGTGTGCGTGTAACTTTGGTTCAACTTCGTTGGATCATTATTACATAATTATTGTTATTATTATTGCACATACGCGGATAATGTCGGCGACCAGCGAAGCGATGAACATGTTGTCCAGTTTCACGTCGTCGTTTTCTAAGATATCCTGCAAACCGCGAGTAGTGTGATCATTTATATTATGTACACAGGGTGAAAAATCCTATTACCTTCAAACTACCTCTATTGCAATATTCGGTCACTATGCATATGTTCGGCGGATCTGTACAAGCGCCAATGAATCCGTTCAGGTTATCATGCCTTAAATCACGCATCTGTGAAAATAAGTCGGTTAGAACGTTTTCCATTAAGTTGTGGTCTAAAGCCCATTAATAATAGTTTATTAACCATTTAACAAATGGATTTTGCATACAATTATCGCAAGAATAATAACCAAGATCGATAGAATTAGAAATGAATAGAAGAGATAGTTACAAGAGATGGTTTGGGAGTTGCGTTAATATAACAGGATAAACGAGTCAAAGAAAATTGATTGAATGGTTTAGCCGAGTTGAAAGGACGGAGATAAATAGTGAGGAACATTCGAGTAGAAAGACTTAGAGGTAGACTTATACCACCAAGAAGTAGACGGTTTTCATAATAAAGTCATAGAGGTGCGTATTATTAAATTGAAAAATAGTGACGGCTATAAAAGTGTGATGTGAGAAGATTATAACGGATGACACCGCTTGTATGGGATAAGAAGAACAATTTAAAACAATTTAGAAGAATGAAGTTTTATCAAGCAAATTATTTTAAACTATATTGTTTATTTTTTGTACACCTAATATAAATACAGGTAAACGAGTACTTTAATATAATGACTTATTTAGCTGTTTACAACGATATCGCGTTTCTTTGGGGTCATCAAGTTTCCAGCATCTCGAGTTGGCAATTAACATCATATTCTACCGAAATTTGTAGTTTCCAATGTTTAATAGTGTTTTGTAGTAGAACATCTACTCGGATTGCGCATTTAAATTTATTATTCCATTACTCCTCCATCCACAGCTATAGGTATTAAAACGTGATTCGCATACTTCAAAGTGTAATAACTTGATAATTTATTTAGCAACAAAGATGTACCAGGTCCCGAATTGTTTAAAAACTAATTAAGATTCAGAAAATGGCGCCGGTTCAATTTTGGAAAATGCCGACGGCGGGTCTCTTTTTGCTTTCGGCGTCAGAAATATTGACAATAGTGTAAAAAAAAAAAAAAAAAATACAATACAATATTATACTCACTACTTTGAGTTCTTTTTTCATAGCCCTTGTAATGTCTATGGACTTCTTTTTAATTTTCTTTATCGCAAACACTCGACCTTTGTAAATACCGACGGTAGTAAATATTGACGAATAACGAAAATCAGCGTCTGGGTTGGAGCTCAAAGACACTTGGCTGGTCCTAATCAGCGGATGTAGAGCCTGAAATAAATACAATTATATTTATAAGCCATCGAGGGTACAAGTTTTAAATTGCGTGCTGCTATCTAACGGCCAAGTTGGCCACGTGGGTTCGCCTAAGTATTTGGCAAACGTTACTTGCCAGATTGCGTACACCGTTCCTTCGACAACAGTCATTGAAAACTTAGTAATACAATATTATACCGTGTAGTGTGATGCAATGATGCATACAAATAAATCCTTCGTACAAACCTACATTTTTAGTTAAAAAGTATAATTTATTCGGAAACCTCTGAGGAGGAGGAGAAAGCGATGGTTTTAAACGGCCTACCAAAGCTGTACGCTATACCAAACACAGCATTAGTCATAAAACTAATACCTTGTCAACTTAACAGTTAACACTGTAGCTAAATAACATATTGTAATGCTAAAAAAATGTGTTCAATGAATAATACGAAAATGTGGATCTATTGGCTAAGATTAGAAGTAGAGAGGTACATGCCTATAATGTATACTTAAATCTTATATTAACATAAACTTTTTTTTTTTAACACAACTCCAACCATTTATTTAATCTTTTTGGCTGTATACAAGTGTCGAATCTAACGCCTTTTGACAAATTATCCACTGCATAATACACGTTTAAATTTTAGTAAAGTTTTTATTTAACATCTACTTAACTTAATAAAGGATGCTGTTTTAACTCGGTAGTATGTGCGTTAATAAATTACCTATTTATGAAAAATATCATATCAAAAATATTATTACAGGCGGAAAATTCATTATGACTCTATTCAAAAGTTGGGCATTTGTATGCTTTAATTTCCAACATATAAGCTGTGTAAACGTATCCATGGCATTAATGCATCGGGAATGTTTAAAAAAAGACAAGTATCATCACATCCTACCTAATTTTCTTGTTGAGATCTCTAAACTGATCAAATGCTTCGTACTTAAAGATCGTGTATTTATTTGTTTGCCTATAATAAATAGAATTTAATTGTTTTATTAGTTGTTTATTAGTAAAATTATGCTAAAGTCACGCTTCATTGTACGATTGTACGTTTTCATTTAAACTCTATGTTACACTTTAAACGTATACCTATCTGTTTAAGGACAAACGTTTGGATACATGTACAAATTGTTATTTATAACGCTACATAATCACTATTCATAAATGAAATAAAAAAAAGTAGTGTACAATAAAAGAACATTATTAGTAAATAAACTGTATAACAAATGCTGAGTGTTCTAATTGTTAAATAGAAAATAAATAAAATTACACAATTAACAAAATTAGTTATTAACTAACTTATAACATTCTTATCTATCGTAAAGGCAAGTCGAAAATCAGAAACAAAAGACCGAAATATGTGGAGTTGGCAAACCGATTTTTTGAAGACATGTTTTTATTTTAATAATTTTGACTTTAACATTATGTAATTTAAGTGCAAATGATGTCCCCATGATCATTTTTATCATACTTTTATTAGACGCACATCAAATTTTAATAATAAGCAGCTTTATGGGTCCAGTGCCCACATAATAAAATCTTGTCGTTAAAATATGTATGAACAAATATAGATTCGTTATCATTAGTTGGTTTTTTTTTTAATATTCGAACAAAAAAAAATAAATAACTTGCGGGATAAGGCAATATAACATCGTTACCATTTTGGTTTTTACGAGGACTTAAAATAATCAAATAATTGAACTTTCATGCATCGGCCGCAGTCGTGCAAAAGTAGAAGACTTTTGACGATTTACCACTGAATCGTAAAGACATATAACTGCCAAAGGGAAATTTCGGCCGGTCCTATAAACTTTATGGATACGGTCGAAAATTCGAATAAGTCACAGGATGCACGAACATAATCAAAACTCGGTCGGTTTATGGTTTATGCTTATTAACGTTTGACGCCGTCAACTTTTACATCGACAAAATATTCTAAAAAAAAAAGTACATTACTAAATAACTAATATTATTTTAATAAATTTCCCACGCGGGTCCATGCTCTCGCGTTTGATTTAATGGCGTTAAATCGCCATACTTGTACTGTCCCGGCGACAAACTTTTGTCAATGATCATCCGGATTTCCTAACCCCGGAAATGCCCGAGTAAGTCAAGCTAAACATTTCGGAAATTCGTGGACTAAAGATAGACGATTATTGTTCACCAGTAGTCTGTAAATTCGCGTTAAACAAATATACTAGATACGATTATAAGACTCCACTAAGAAGCAGATTGTTCTAATTTATTATTTAATAATAAGCAAATCACTCGTTGAAAAATATACAAATCATCATCGAATTATATACAAAATTGTTATTATATTTTTTCTTACTACTTGTAATTTTTCATCGTAATATAATATGAATCATGGATAATGTTCATTTGTCGGGCAGTGACTATTAAGACGTGTCGCACAGTATCCGAGAAGTACAAAATTTGATGTCTGACATCTCTTGAGACGTTCTGTGCGCAGTCCATATACCAACATTGTTGAATTTTTAACTACAAGTTAGTTAAGGTTACTTAACAGAATTCTCATACAACCACAACATTATCTGAGAAGGAGTTATTTTAAGTCACAATACTATTTAAAAAAAAAAAAAAAACCCCAAATGTGCCGCTGACTTATATATTGTATAAAACGTGCATGGGTTTTTTGGCGAAAAAAGGACCTATCGATAAATTTATCAAGAATAACAACGTGATAGGAGCGTTTGTATTATGTAACTACGATCGTTTGACCGTGGCAAAAACCTCTTAAAAAAAAAATAAAGAAATATCCTTCTCAGAGCAGTACGCTATTACAGTAAGACCGGCTTGATCCACAAATGCGCCATTGTATAATATGACACGGGGACGGTGGTGGTTTTGAATGAAATCCGACCGTTTCTTTCGAATAGATCACATCGTTTGCCGCCGTCTCCGGAGGGCAATAATAATCTTTATAAGTGCCGTGAAATGGCCCCGAGGCCGTTATTATAACACTGCGAGTTTCCCGCACACTGAGCATTTGGAATTTTCCAAACGTCCACTCACCCTGGATATCTTCGACGAAGTGTTGCTGTTTTCCGTGTCGTTGATCTCTATGTCTTTGTAGTCGACCTTCCACAGAAGACTGTCCAGCTCCTGTTCGTACTTCCAATTCCTGTAGAAAACCAGCGACACGACGGCCAACACCAACAGCAACGTTCCGGCCACGATCGACAATATCTCTGCCGTGTGTGCTAAAATATAAAAGTAATAAAAGATTAAAAAAAAAAAATAGTAAGTTCACGAGCGAGCGGTCGAAAACTCACATATGCATTTTTCTCCCCGATACCCGCAAACGGGCTCGGCCACCGGCGGTTTGCCGCCAATCCATTCCGTCGGCACGGTCAACCTGAGTTCCTGCGCGGAGCGACACATTAATTTCTGGTTAAACAAAATAAAAACAAAGGTCTTACTGGGATTTTGGTCAGGTTCCGATGTCGGGTAAATGCTCCTGCTGGAAATAGCCCGAACACCCCAGGGGAAACGGGATGCCGTTGCCTGGACAGCAAAGTGTAATTGCCTTCAGCGTCGCCATTCTCGTCCATGTGCACTTCATAACTGAAATATATTGCTTCCTGTTATTATACACGGTCGTAAATCATAGTGCAGGTAAATCACAAATTCCCCATTCCCCGCCGTGTTAGTAAACCGGCGAATGAAACGGTTTTTAAATAGAAATAAAAGGGCTTTATCAAAAGGAGCTCAAATTAAATACAAAGTCCGCGTGGGCGCTGTTGTAACGATAAATCGTCGGTCTAGAATTAGCGCGATGTAATTGTGTACTTTTCAATAAAGAAAAAACGCATTTTTTTTATAAATGAATTTATTGATTGAAAATAATGTGTATTATGCGTGTTGGTTGGACACTTGGTTTCATTGCAACACATTTTGAACGTATAAACAGGTCTAAGAAGAAAACAATACTTTAAGAAAAATTAAATAAAACCTTTGAAACACTAAAATTTTTAAAAGTTAATTTGCATTATTAATTCTCAGCCGACTCGGCAGCTCTTTGCCATGGAAATATAATTAGGTTTCTTACTCACTCATAATATGTTTGTAAAATTGTTTATAATAAATTGCATATCGTATTTTGATTAATACATTATTTGTAAAATATCGTGTCGATATCAAATCCTTTCGATAATGATTAGTTTATATTTGTATTATACTACAGTCAAAATTAATTATACTTGACAAGAAAAAAAAATTGTTTAAATTGGTTATGATAAAAATTAGTGTAAATTGATTAAAAAGCGTATTAAGTCATTTTGAGTTTTACAAATAATTTACCGTTGGTTAAGATTTTAAGTTGATTAATATATTATCACAGTAATAATTATTACATCCTATGTTACTGTCCAATCATTTACATGAAATCTAAAATGTTTAAAATTTAAAATTTACTAAAATATATAAAGTGGGCTCTCGGTAATTTGGTCTATAACATAATCCGGCACGTCCAGTAAACCGAGCCAGTAATTGTATTATACCAAATCTGAGAATAAAAACTTTTTGACTATAAAATAAAAAGATACCCATTTACCTACTTTGTAGGCTTACGGTTTACCTAATTCGTTGTGCTTATATTAGCTTATTAATGTTAGCCGATATAATATCATATAAATTATACTACTTGACAATAACAACTCACACACAATATAGTATTAAGTGTATTGGGCTAGTCCGATTACACCTTAAATTTCCAATTGGTATGCACATGACTTCTTATCATTTCAAACAAAAATCCTAGAGTATTAATTATTGAATGCGATGAATATTGTTTTATTTGTTTGGGCACATATTATAATTTTATAAAAATTTTATTGGTTTTTAGCGTGTCGTTTTACTAAAAGAAACATAACAAAGTTTTATTACTTATGGGTGATAAAAAAAAAAAATCTCAACTTTACATTTCCTTACCTACTTTATTGTTATAGTTTTAGATAGAAGTACACAACGTGAAAGTATTGTTTTTATTTTATCAATATACATCACATTATTTTCAACGTTTTATTATTTTGCAGGCTGTGTATGTTCTCCACTAACACGCGAATCCTCTAGAAAGTTTTAAAGGGCAGTCATCGTATTATTTTTTTTATGATTTTTGAACATGGTAAAAATTAATAAACAACAAACGAGCAAGTAGGCTTGATTTTATTCGAAGAACCTTAAAACACATCTCGAGTAAAACGAATTAAGCAGATTGTTTTAATGTATAAAAAATAGTTGAAAAAAATAAAAAAGCGATAGTTTAAAAAAAACAATTACTCTAAAAAACATTTGATGTTTTTAGTTTTTTGATAACTTAAGCGCAATCAAAAGTATTCATTCGTAAATATTCATTATTTTTCCTTTTTTAATTTGTTTATAAAAAAAAATATTAAGTATAGATATCGAAAAAATTAAAACGCTACCCCGTGGAAAAAGTTTTTCTCTGTACATTGTGAAAATTTGATAAAATTACTGTTAATACTGGCCTCACATACTTGTCCCGCGCAAAGCAGTTTTGATGGGAAAAAAAATTTAATTTATCCTAAGTAATTTAAGCTAGGCAAGGATTAACCGTGTACGGTTTATGCGTAAAATATTTTACAATTTTTCTCATTTAACACAGTTCGGGCACTACTTGGATGAAACTAAATTTGAGTTGGACAAAAGTGCCGCTCACGAGAATATATTTCTGTATAGTATGGTTTGTGTATTATATATATAAGTATCTGCGCGCGACTAATATAATTTTTTTTTTATTTTTTATTATTAATACGTGGGTTGCTTACCCCATTGCGCTTTTGTAATGTGAACCTCTGAATTTTGCCATAATGGCCGTACCGTTTCTGGGATCTTCGTCACCCTCGATTGTCTCCAGCACGCATCTCGCATATAAATGGACAGCGTCGTACAAATATGCGGCTTCGGCGGATATCTGTAGAAACACAACAAACAAAAACAAACATTTATTATTATAGCTATTACAATGCCACGTCTGTAAGGAACAGTGCAAAAATACTAATAAGTCTGAATCAACAAATTATTAAAAAAATTAAATACATTAAATAGAACCGTAGGTGGACATAGTAATGTTTTTCCAAAACCTCACGTTCGATTAAAAACGTTAAATTTACATTGTTTTTCTTTTATCATACATTAAGTATGATCAATTGACCATAAAGCAATATGTTGAAATTTTATTTTACAAATATTTCGATACTAATTTTGAACCAGTATAACCGCTTTGTGATAATAATTTTGTGATAATAGTTTCAACTTGGTCAATTGTAAATAGCGAAAAGTTTTCTTCATATTAGTATGATTCATTTATTATAATATTAATATTTTTTTAAATTAATTATATTAATATAATTTTACGACTAATTTGTATTTTCTGCTCCTGAGATAGTTATTTAAAATTATGTAAACGAATCAGTTACTATCAATATGCCATCCGTTAATGAGGTAGAACAGGTTAAGTAAATTGTAGCCCGTACACAGCATGGAAAACAAATTATTTTTTTGAAATATCACAAGTTCATCTGCACTATTCCAAGTATTATCGGTCACCCAATTTTGGTTTTTTACTTTAGATACTATGGTAAGTTTGGATTTTTCAATTTTCACTAAAAGATTTTTTTTTCTATTTCTTTGAATTTGTATGAGATCTTCTCTGCCTGACATGAATCTTAATATTGGTATTATTTTGTCCATTTCTATAGGTACAATAAATGCAACACGATGCTGTAATGTATCTTTACTGGCATAATATACTTTTATCTATGTGGTCAATTTATTTTACATCGACCGTTTTATAAATCAAGTCTCAAAATTAGCGTTCAACATTAACATAGCCTAACCTACAATGATTTTTCGTTACTGCTATATAATACAATATATTGTTTAATTTATTAATTTTACTAAAAATAAAATATATTTTTTTATATACCAACTACCAATGTAAGCACAATAATAGTTGTATAAAAGTTACTTTAGACCAATTTAATAATACAAGTAAATAAGGGTACAATAAGTATATTGTACAATACATTGTAGGCACCTACCTGTTTAACGCCGCCAAACTGTTGCAATGGATTGGGAAACTGGAACGGCGGTTTTTCCATGTACTCGTTTACTTTAACGGAGAAGTTTTTGAAACCCCTAGGCGGCGTGGGTACGATGCTAAAAAACGACCGGAAGGCTTTTTCAAGAACCGGATCCGGATCTTCTGATAGAATGCCGGTCAAGTATTTTCCCGGGCTGTCCACGTCGTATTGTTCCACGTCAACACCGACCACATAGTATTCACCTGGAAACCCAAAATGTTAATGTTGTTATTATTATAAAACATGTTACACAGAATAAAGTTGCATAATATCCATTTAATGTATATTATACGTCACGTACAGCATGATCATAATGTTGCTGAACGGTAATAATTTTTCCAATGAAAAAATGGTCAAATAAAATGTTAATCATGATGAACGGTCGAGTATAGATTTTAAACGTTTTCAAGTCAAAAACTATAAATGATAACTTGCGGTTAACGATTAATTTACGGAAAAATTGTATTATTAAAAACACGATTTTGATCACCCTGTAGGTTAGGTAACCGGTTATTATAAAACATTTTATAGTAATTCCCCATACTATAGCATATTTCCGGACTTGCCAACCGTTGCGTTGAACAAGCTTGTAAAAAATAATAACAACTTTTTTATTTTACTTTTTTATTATTACTCGCCACGTGATTTCTATAGTATAATATTATGTTTAAAATGTGTGTAGGATATGTATTGATATTGATTTTTACATTTTCAGGGACAATTAAACCGTGACTTATTCTTGCGGTCGGGCTTTGCCGTAGAACTTCTAAAAAGGTATTTAATACTTGCACGTGTAGGTATATCAAGTTACAACTCGGATGAATAATAATTATTACCCAGTTCGCGTGTATTAACCACTCGTTTTCGACGGCGAAACTTACAAGGAACAACAGTTAAAACAAATATAATAATATATCTTCAGTACAATTATAATACTATATAAACCGCTATACAAAACAGCAATACCTAAGCACTTCGAACGGGACAGCTGAAAATGTGCAAAATTCAAACGGTTGCTCACAACAAAAGCACATTAGTCGGTGAAGTTATGCACATTAATCTAAAATCATTATAAGGAAGATATTACTATAATGGAACCCGCGGGGCGTAGATACATAATATGCCGCTCGGGCTGAAAGAAAAATGTAAACCTTATTATATATTATTATTGTCTATTGATCTATTCTTTTTATTGTTTATCGATAAAATAAAAAAAATTCGCGATATTCAAAAACAAATAACAACAATTTCAATTTGAATATTGTTAACATAATTTTTTTTGCAACAACTACAATAATATAATTTTATAGCTATACCATACTAACATAATAACATAACAATGAACGTGATGTATGCAATTTTAGTGTATTGAATTTGAAAGTTTTTTTATTTTTTGATTAGGTACTTTCTAAATTTGCACATACATTATGGGCACACACTACGGTAAAATTGAATTAGTCAAACAAAAAAAAAAAATGTGTAGTTCATTATTTTGCACGGTCCGCGTTATATTTAATAGGGTTTTATTTCTGCAAAACACAAAACTGGCTGCTCGCTAATCGACTCCCGACAAAACTACTGGAGTGTTAACATTTAATTTAGTTTATATCCTATATATTTAGCTATTATAGACGGCCACGTCGTATATAATTTGATTTATTCACCATTGAAAACATTTCGCTTTTTCGGCTTAACCGGATAGCAAATTTCTTTGCGGTTATCCTTTTCTACGCAAAACAGTATAAACATTTTCATAAGTTGTCAAATTACAAACACAATAATACTATCGAAAATTAATATTCCGCTCTAGTCGCGGTCAATGATGTTTAGACAATAAATTATTTGTTTTCTTGGCCGCTCCAATATAGTTGGAAAACTTTCCCGAGTAAGCAGGCAATGGCCTATCATAACTCATTCCGACAGTGCATCCAGCGGCGTGACACATGTGAACTTGAAAATTCATAAACATAAAAACGTCTTAAAACTGAGAAAAATACTTCAACAAGCAATACACAATCTCCGTGGTTGTGTGCAAGTTTTATGTGTCTGAAAACTATTTCTGTGTAAAACGCACAAATATTTATGCTGGCGCAGGACCTTCTCAATGATATCCCATGAATATTATATTAACCTAAGTCGCTTTGATATTATTTCTTTAGTTGGGACGAATTCATACACGCTATTTGGCAACAATTGTTTGGCTCGAATACACTTTTAGTAATGGTGAAATCTAAAAGAGATGAAAGTGACTTTGACAAAACTGCACGGGACATCTATGAATGATAATATAATTTAACTATGATATTCATTGAAATTTTAATTCGTTTTTTTCAAATATAAAAATAAAATAAAAACATTTGGTTTAAATAAAACTACTTTGCCACAATCAAGTTCAACTTCAAAAACTAATTGGTTGAAATAACATTTTGTCATTTTTGAAATTAGTTTTATAATTACAAATCATTTGTAAAGCTATAAAATCTTCTCTCAACTGCGAAAAATCTTTAAAGTACCGTTTTTAGTACTAAACACAATAGTTGAATGATAATCAACATTTTTAAACATTTCTGGAATATTCTTTCTGTATTTATGTAAACGTTATAAATTATAATTGATTTTGAAAGAAGTTTTTAATCCATTAACTTGTAAAATGTGAACATGGAATATTAAAACGATGCTTATGGCTCGAGTTAGGCCCTCATTAATTTTTAAATGTGCAAAGAACTGACTAACGGCGTGCCGAGACAAGTATTGAATTAAAAGTTAACATTTTAATTATTGTTCACCGACCTTATTCGTCAGTTTGAAGAAGACTAAGCGAGCCATCGTTTTCCGTCGACTTCGGTAAGTTAAATTACATATTATTACCAATTAACGTTAAAGATAGTTAAATGTTATTAGTTAAAAACGAAAGAATTCTGAAATAAAATATCTTATGAGGTATACAATTAATAATAGATACACGTCTCGATCTAATCTTTCTTGTACATAATCGTTCAGTAACTACTCGCATCTATCCGATTGCTCTTTACGTGGTCGACACCATGGTACACTTAAATAATATACAATACCCCACTGTATAATATATTACGCTACTACCGAGTGTCTGATTTCGTTCTCCTTTCGAACTGGTCTGGGAAAACTATTAAATATCCCAACAATATTTCATAAAAAACAAAAACTTAAGACAATTTTTTTGTAAACCACCGTCGTCCTGAGACTTGGTTCTTGTTGTTTCTCGTCGATACACTGTAGACAAAACTCTGAGAACATATATTTTAAACTCTGGCTGACAGGGCAGTAGTTTATTAAGACCTACTATGACGCATTTGCACAATATACGTTTTGTGTGTGTGTGTGTGCATTTTTGTCAGGATTTTCCAGGCCAACGGTCGTGCCGCCGGACTTGAGATAAGAGGGAAAAAAAAACAACATGCCGATCCATAACTGTGAGACGAGTGTGCACTGCAGCGTACAGCAAGTATAAATTCCACCGGTCATCCAGTCGGAAAACGGTGACGGCAAAATACATCTCAAAAGCGTCGGGCCAAAGTATGAAAACTAATATGGACGTCTACGGCAAGGCAAGTTTGTTGAACTTTTTCGCGGGATAAAAAAAGTAAAAAAAAACGTGCTCTTACCGTTTTTGAACAGATCCATTTCGTCCATGGCCACTACGAGACCCGTGTGATCGTAGTAGTTGCCCAACACAACGTAAACTGAAACAAACCAAACAAAGATGTTATTATAATTAATTTTCAATTTTTATTTTACCAGAAAGTCGCACCAAAAAAAAAAAAAAAAAAAAATTACCCGAAATACCCCTACAGGATTTCGTTTAGGATCAGACACCAAATATCTCTTAAAATAAAATTGCAATTTTGTAGAGTTTCTTTTTGAAAATATTTAAGTTATTTTACAATATTATAAAACTACTAAATATTTGTCTTTTTTAATTTTTCCAATGTTCTATTGGCTTTTGAAACCTAAATGGTAACGTATGTATTTTTAAATTAAGAATAATTTGCTGAAAATGTTGACTAGTCAAAAACCAGTTTTTAATAATTACTTTTAAAGTCACTAAAGTTTAAAATTTAGGACGAGAGGGAGCATAGTATTATATTTATCTGAACGCATTACTCTACCACACTTTCGGTCTAAAATTTTAAACTTTAATTACTTTAAAAGCAATTATCTAAAACTGGTTGTCGACTAGTCAAAATGTTAAGCAAACTATTATTAATTTAATTAAAAATACACGTTACCGTTTACATTTTAAAAGTTAATCGAACTCTGGAAGAAAATAAAAAAGATGAAACAATTTGAGTATTGTCTACTATTGCAAAATAACATAAACTAAAATGTGTCCAAAAAAAAAAAAACAATCAAGTTACAATTATTTTTAAAGAAAATGAGAGTCTTATCCTCATATTTGTATATATTTTTATGACTAGGATATTAATTTGTACACTAAATTATCATAGACCATATTAATTATAATTTTTTTTCAAATTGACTTTTTTATTAATTTGTCAAAAATATAAGGTAGGCTTTTTAAAAGTTAAAATCCAATGTAAAAAAATATATGTACATATATTATAAATAGGAAGTCGACAAATGTAATACTTGTTTCATATGAAACGTATCAATTAATAATATATCCATACCCGCGGTGTACTAATAATTAATTGCTTGGAAGAATCCGTTTATTTAAATTAAATAAACGATAATTTGAATAAAAATGTGTAATTTTTTAATACCATACCCTCGTCAGGTTGGGTTAAGTCGTATCTCTTTTCTATTTTATATGTCAGTTTTTATTAATATGTTTTTTAATACCATATCCTCGTCAGGTTGGGTTAAGTTGTATCTCTTTTCTATTTTATATGTCAATTTTTATTAATATGTTTTTGCTACATTTCTCAGTAGTAGTTGAACGTTAAAACTTTCCATTCTTTAAACATTGTCAAGTAGGCACTTATTTTACGGGCGACGTCAATCCATCCATCTTCATTTACACCGCTATATCGTCAAGCCTATTTGTTAAGGAGTAAAGTATAGGCAATTTTTTGATAAAACTGGACATAAATCTAAAATATGTATACTCATGTATATTGACAACACAGCAAAAAGGCATCTACGTTGATATTTAATATTTATTTGAATCTTTTAGAACACAGCAAGGCCCTTTTTTGTACCTAAACATAATTCGGTAGATGTATTTTTCAAAACTCGGATGTTTGAAATTATATTTTCTTATGGACAAACTTAATATTAATTATGTTTAAATAGGTTTTTTTGTAACGAAGATATTAAATATTGAAAAATGCGCTTACACGGTTAGGTTTACCCAAGAAGAGTGCATGTTTCAAGACACGATAGACATGCCGAAAAAAGGAGGTCAACGCGAGTAATGTTGACCTCACATTTGGGATTAGCGCTGGCTGTCTCAACTCTCAACTAAATATATGTAATGAATAACAATAAAACAGAGCGCTATATGATGACTAGTATTTGATCAAAAAGTAAACTAATATATTATGTAAAATGTGTAAATTGTCTATTTTCGTTCAAATGAACTACAACTAAATTGCCTGTAATAATTGAATGAAGCGAGAGAAACACTAGTCGCAATGAATAAATTATTTGTTATTGTAAAACGGTCGATATAATAGTCTTTGTTTGAAACGAAACATAATTGTATATTATGTCTCTTTAAATTGTTTTCTATCAGTCTTTTTATATTTATTTTTTAATGGCGCGAAAATAGCGCGTCGAAAACAATTGTACCAGAAAGTTGTTTGTTTAATCGAATTTCAAGCCCGTGTAAATAATACCATGTAGTCGCAATAGTAAAAAAATCATAAATAATATCCGGACAGTGTTATTAACGACATTTGTTTTTAAAGTTTGGACCGTGCGAACTTGCTGTATTATATATATACACATGTGTATGTATATTCAAATATAATATATGTATATTATTAAAAAATTGTTTTAACGTGTACAAATTGTACTGGAAATGATTCCGGTGGAATAATCGCCGGGGAAAATAATAAATTAGATACCCCTGCGCACAATTTCAATTTTCTTTACCGTAAATCACATTTAACGTAGATTCCGCAAAAGTTAAGTTCTTCCTTTTGCGGATCTCTTGGCGTTAAGCTGGGATTGCAGCACAATTTATTAGCTCTTTTCTTACTCGTCTCGCACAACCGTCTTCTGTCAGTTTAGATAAATACAGATTCAAGTTGAACAAATATTATGAATATCATAATATAGCCTATAAAAACGAGTTTACTCGAAATAGTCCAAAGTTAATTTGTTTGAAAAACAATCCGAGTAAAATGTCATTTAAACAAATCTGCTTATCGACTGTGCAACTCTAGCCGACGGTAATCGCCGAATTTTAACGGCCATTTATAACTCATCTGAAAAATTAATGAAAAATTTACAAGCTGCTGTCATTGCTGTTATTAAATTGTTCATTGGTGGTGCAATAATTTCCTATCATCGCAACCAAATCTAATATTTCACTGTGTCTGCCAAAGTTTTCTCTATACAATTTTAGATTTTACTTTAAATTTAAATTAATTAATTTACGTCACAATGTTAAAGACGAAAGAACATACACAAGTGACTTCGTAACTGCAAGGCCTTTTTAAAAAAAAAAAAAAAAAAACAATTTTCGCTTCGATGTGGAGCAGAGATGCTATTTTTCTTTTTAAATAACGCTAAAATTATAGGCACATTACTCTACTTTAAACCAAATTTTATATTTTAATAATATAAATGTTTAGGTAATTTTTTTTTTATAATTTAGAGTTTTAAAAAATTATCCCTACTAATAAAATAATAACAAATATATTTTATTCTATAGGTTATCAAGTACAACTGTAATATTCGAGTGTAAATTATATTTTTAGGTATACGAAATTCCGGATAATATACCACCCCTTTGTCGAGTAGGTATACATAATTTATGAGACTATTTTTCATATTATATTTTTTTAAGCCGTTTATAGTAAAAACAAAAAGTTATACACTCGCTCGCGAATTTATATTAAACCTTTCGAGCGGTTTTGTATAATTTATCATGATATTAAGTTTTCACCGCATTCATTCACGGCAAGTTTATATACCTACGATAGGTACTTAGTCTTAATATGTTATTGAGTACTCGAGATCGGTATTAATCGTCGGTAATAAATCAACTCTTTCGGCTTAAGAATAATATCAATAACGATAGCTCTTAGAAATCGTTCAGTTTGTGGTTACATCAATACTTACAAATATTAAAATATATAGTAAAAATATATAGAAATATGTAGGTACTTAGTAGCATGTAAAACTCATGACAAAACTCTCACACACAACTTAAAGAAAGGAATTACTGTTGTTAATTTTAATGCAGCAGAGTTTCTAGAAGGCAATAATGAGCCGAAAACGAGTTTGAGTTAAGTAAATAAATTAGTTGTTCAAACTGCTTTTCTTTTAATCATTATCACGTTTATTATTATAAACTTCACATATTATTATAAGTTTGCTTCTATTTAAAAATAACCATCAATTAAAATTGTGAATTTATGATAAACGGCGTTAAGTTAATATTGGCTAATGGCTTTTGATTTTTGAAAATTTAGCCATTTTACCTTACCATTTAGTAGCCTTTCAATTTTATTAAAGTAATTTTAAGACTCTAGAGAATTGTTTAACTGACATTGCTTTTAAAAGAGGTGAGTTGCTTGGATGCAAATTAGCTTGTGTCAATCCTATTGCACGTGAAATACGACGAAATAAGAAATAAAAGTTTCCCTCGTGCATTACGATAAAAAACACAATATTAACCTAAACAGTGTTTCAAAAAAAAAAAAAATGTATTGTAGTTTACACTAATCATAGTTGACACGAATTCATTAAACGACACGACGTCGTCGCATTACTGAATTCCAATTAAATTAAATTTCGAAAGTACCAGCAACTTTTTTTTTTTCCACTAAAACTTTACTAATTTAAAGATTTCTTTGCAGTTTTGTTTTTAACAACGTGTTTCTACAGAAAGCACCCTCGTCCTATGCTGATAAAAGGTTGTCGACACGCGAAAAACTGACCGAGTGGACATAAATAAATATATATATATATATAGTACAATAATAACACACTATCGCTGAACGCACTCGGACGCCACACACGAGCCAGCCGATACAAACCCACGCGGTATACCTAAATCAAGGGATGTCATACATTTCACACTTAGTCTCGAGTAAAAGTATTTTTAGGTTAAAAATATTGTAGTTTTTTGTGCTTTCCACTTCAAAGATTACGGATTTTTTTTTAACGCGCGGCCTATAAGCGCTGCAACCATCTTTCGCACTCGAGTTCATGTTCAAAATAAAAATCCTAAACTAATCTATGTTGTTGCAATGTCTCACGCTATGAATTATGTCAATTAGTACTTGGTACTCGAAATTGTGTACAATCTTTAAAAAAAAAAAAATTACATTCTAGATAAATTCAGACTAGCTAATGAAAGATTCGATGGAGAACGTCGCCAAACGGTTAGATTTTTAGTCCATCAAGTCAATGGAGATTTCTCGCATCATTATAAATGTGAAATATATATATATATTTAGACAAAGGCTAATCATATGAACTCTTAGGGCGAGTGGGAGGAAATGTTCCTACTACGTGTACTAAATCTAACCTCTCAATTATTATGATTTGTACTGTTAACCCTTATGGATGTAGATAGACAATGCTAATAAACACATCAAAGACGAGTTTTGTACAACTTATTGGACCGATGCACTGGTCTTTTACGCATTGACTATATCAAAATAAAATGCTATAACAACATACAAGAACTTATAAACACTGTGATCGATTTATCATAACGACTAAGTAAGACGGTGTATGGGGACTGTTTTTTAATATTATGGTTATTTTGATTTTTACTTAGAACGATGTTTATGCATCTTTGAAACTAAATACGACACGTATATATTTTAACAACCGATTTCAAAATTCTATTCAACAGATGTGCCTTTTTCAATTTACTACAGATTGATGAACAATGTTATATTATTATACCCCATCGGTTACGCCGATCAATATTGTTGCGTGGAATATTTTTTCATTTGTATATATATATATATATATAAATATACATATATCCTGGCTACAAAAAAATCACGTTATTATTTTGAATATCGTTACGCTTCACCGACACATCTTCCTCTCTGCGCGTTCCACATGAGCGCGACCCCGAGAAATATCGTTATCCGTCGCGTCGTTATCAATGATGTAACACATGCATGAACACCCTTTTTCCGCGTTGTTTAGACCGTGTTGTATATTTTGTTGCTTCCGGAAAACAGATATGGCGGACATAATACCCGGGGGACCAGCCGAAAAAAGGAGGGCAAAAGACTACTTTGGGCGGACTACTTGGTTGTAACCATGCGGATAAAAGGTCGTCTTACGGAAATTTCGCGGGAAAAAGATATCCGAAAATAACCCCCCCCCCCCCCCGATCCTTGGAATATACCTAATATTAACTCGACTGTGATAAATATTTATAACTGTCTGGATTCAAAAATCGTACATTAATGTCTTTTTGATTGCCACGCGCATGAATACATCAGCTTAATCCCGTACAGGATTTCAAATAGTTCATTTTTGAAAACGTCGTATCCAGCTGTTTACAGTCCTTCAGTTCTTTCAAAACGTATAAATAGATTTTTTGAAAATCTAGCTTCACTATTGCACTACGTCTTACCAAATATTTCATTATCGAGCGCTCGATGAGTTTGTTGTTTAAGTATACGATATTATCATGATATTTGACAGCATAAATAATTCAACAAAACCTGTCTTTAACGCGTTATAACAGCTATCTGCTTAAATCATTTCACTCGCGTACACTTAAAATGGATAATATCTTTAAAACGTTTTTATTTTTTTTATTAATGGTTTATTTTATTATTTTTTTTTTTGATATAAAAAATCAATTTATGGAACAATTTTTGAGAATGACGGTATCGATGGTATATTAGCTCAATGTATTATTGTAAACAGTGCAACATATTGTGCGATATGGACGTTTCCTGTTTAAATATAAATATAAGACAAACAATTGAAAATTCATCAGTTATTATGATGGGCAATGAAAATGCAATAATCAGATATTATAGCCGGATTATAATTTATATATATAAATATTAAATTAAGTATAGAAATGTCCCATGCTCCTATAGAGCAAGGAATATACAAAAAAGTCGTATCAATAGGTATCTTGTGTTTTATATACATTACGTTTTAAAAATTAACTTTAATCTAAAAAAAAAAAAAAAAACAATAAGACAGCACAGAGAGTAGTAGAGTATTTTGATTATAAGAGTATAGATAATAGGGGATAGAGTATACCTCTCTTATAGGGAAAAAGGTGTTTTATATTTTTTTTTGGCTTTGTCAACGTTAGTAAAAAATATTCCATACAAATTTGGAACTATTTTACTATAGCACTTACATCATTATTATCGTTAGGCGTATGTTTTACAAATTATTTTGTTACAACGTTTTTCGTATTGAAAGTCATGAATCTAAAATTAACATCACGGACCACGTTAGGTTAGGTTTTGTTAAAAGATTATATCACAAAAACTCATGAAGGGAAATTTAGGCCACGATTGATAGCACGATATAATTTATTATACAATTTTTGAAAACTTATAAAACATACAAGTTTAACAATCAACAATGTACAAAATAATGGAACAACAACTTTCTATGGTCGAATGATGTCATTGCATACTAAATTTAGTTTTAAGTTCAACTGTCAAGACTGTTTATAATGTTTATTGTTCTACTGCAAACCTATTAAAGTCCTAATAGACATGTATGCTATAATGAATGTCTACTATAGGACAATAATTGCTATAAATGAAGGTTTACTTCTCTACGTCTTGTACACAAGTTAGAGAACCACAACAGTTGGCGAGATTCGGCAAAGCATTAGTTCAAATTTTGGATAACGCTTCTGATAACGTGACTGTAGAGTTTTTGTTTGAATAGCATAATATTTCTAAACAAAATGCTGATATTGTTTAAAGTTAAGCAATTTAGATAGTCTTTTATGTAACCAATTCCATATTACTACAATCAAAAGATCTCTTTTTTTTTTATTCAACTATATTTTTTTATAAAACTATACATATAATATTGTTCTCTTAATAGTTATAAACATCAAACATTAAAATACATCTATAGACCAATAATTATATTGTCCACAAATTAAACTTGTTCATATATTATATTAACCATATCGGAATTTATTTATACTTAAAAATATATTTTTTGAATTTTAATTATATATTGTATTATTTTATTATGCAGAATATTCAACTACTCGATTTAAATTTGTTTCGTTAACAAAAACTAAATATTGTTTATGATTTTCTGATAAATTCATAATTTTTTTTATTAATTATTAAAACTATACTTTATTAAAATGAATTCACATAAAAAACTACTTTAGCCACAAGGTTTGACTCGGGTTTCGGTGAATATGCTGAAAGTGTTAAACTAATTTCATATTAGTTTAATATATTGTATTTGCTTGACATTGATAAATTGTAAAACTGGTATAAACGAATATTTATAGGATATAGTTTCTAAACCATACTTAAATGGTATGTTTTGTGTAACCTAACCTATTGATAAAACTCTGTAAAGAATATTTTGTACGATATTTGTCTCTAGGGACAAATATCATATAAAACATTCTTAGGAAGTTAAGAAAATATGATAATAAAATTGAAAAAACTTCACATGCACGGCAATTTTTTTATGTATATTATAATAATGAAGTGGAAAGTAAATAAATGTAGCGATACTCATAATACATTTTTTTAAATAAATTATTTTTATTTGAATAGTCAGTACGGTAATCTCTTTGGGACTTAGTTTTTGAAAAAGAGCACTTGTTTATTTCTATTAAGTAAACTGCAAATAGTGAGACATATATGTATTTATACGCTCATTAAAAAATAAACTCTTATGATAACAAAATCTAGATACATAAAATATCTTTTCAATGAACTTTTGAATGAGTGTTTATATAATATAAATATGTGTACTTTTTTTTTTGTAATATTATCAATTTAGGTATTTTTAATAAAATCATTCAGCGTTTAATCATAATATGTTTGTTCAATTCTAACATTTAGTACCATTAATAGTATGTACATTTACTTTTTTTGCCTACATTAATTAAAAACAAATTAAACAACTGTTGAACACACTCATGCAAGGTTTCGCCGAATGAACAATTTTGGCGGAAAGAAAAACCACTTTTTTAACTCAATTTCTAGTCTTTTTGGAAAAAAATCAAAGCTATATGAATGTACATGTATAATACACTGGAATTGTTTGGTGTACTAAGAAATTGTACTCGAAACGTCATTTGAAAAAGGACCTTTTAAACGAATAAAATAATATTATAAAAATAAAGGCGGCATTCAACTTTGGGTCATTTTATACTCGTTTTCTCTTTGATTTGATTCCACGCTAAATTTCCTCTGCGCAAAAAATGCCTTTTGAAATGTCAATTACTTGTCCCTTCGGTACTATGAATTTCGTGGGAATTTAATAAACCTTTATTCAAAATATACTCCAGTGCAATCAAATATAACGTACATCACGTGACACATGGGTAGAGGCTGGGTATCATAAAAATCTACCACTCCAGCTGTACTGTACCTATGTATGATTTTACCATTATGGTTTGAAATTGCTACAGACTCACTTCTGGTGTCCATGTAAGTATCTGCGACCATCTTGACAAACGGGTTGGCCGTATAACCGTGTAGGTAATGAGTGTTCCAAGTTTTTTTGGCTGTAATCTGTATGCCGGCTTGGGCAAACACATCGGCGATGGTGGCTGCGATTTTGCCGAAATGTGTGTCTTCGGCGTTTGAGTAAAAAAATGTCACCTGTACAGCAAATGATTATTTACAGAGTATAGCTAAAATATGACATGAATCGTACAAAAAAAAAATTAAAACTATGACTTTTTGAGATAAACCAGCTAAATGTAGTAACATTGTAATGTTGTTTTGGGGACAAATAAAATGATTATACATTAAAGGTATTATAATCACACAAAATATATTTTTCTAATTCGTCATACTTACAGTTCTATTAAGATACATTTTTTATTTTAATTGAACTTGTCCACTAAAAAATCATGTCCCGTCTTAAACGTTGTCTCGAAATAAGAGGATAAATATAAAAAATTTAAGGCACGATAGAATTTTGAGAAAAAGTTATTTTGGTAATTTCTCACAAAATATTTCAAGTCTTAACTTGTAAACAGACGATTTAGTAAAAAGATTTATTTTTTATTTTCAAGCATTTTCGACATTCACATTTCGTATTTTGTACTTAAATACTTGGTCGGTTGTGTATTTTTATAATTTCAAGTAAGATTATTCTAATGTTTTGTATTTAAAATAACAAATGTTTTATGTATATTTGCAATATTTGAATATCATCTCTGTTTGGGGTCTTAACTACGGAAAGTAATATTAACAATTTCAAAAGCTTGCTTAAGATTTTCACCTTTTTCCGTAACACCGATTACCTCAAGTGCGATTTACTCTTTGTCTTTGTCCCGTTGTATTATTATCACATAGCCGTGGGTGTCCAACAGTATTACAAAGAAAAATGTCAGATCCTCTCCTGGTGGTCGTGAAACGCTTAGAGTGAAAAATTTTCTCGGAAATTGTCTGAATTCGCACGACACTCGCATACATCATGTTACAATTTATTGTTCGAAAGAATTGTGTGATATTTATCGCCATACGGCAGCACCGTCGGTCAGAAGTTCCACATTATGTAGAAACAAACTATATCTTCAGCTAGACAAGCTCGAAAGCAATGTAATTGCCGAAGTGGCGTTGTTGTGGTGATGGGCCTTTTTGGCTCCAGATAGATGACACTCAGTGTCTTTGGAGGCGGTTCAACGTGAGCCGGCGACTTTGATTTATGCATGTCTTTACCCACCTGAGTCCAGTTGAACGCCTTGAGTACCGCAGCCACCGATTTCGAAATTTGGTTGTCAGGCGGTCGGGTCCGAGCAAACGTCGGGTACAGGGTCTTGTCCGAAGTGTCCGAGTCCATGCAATACTGGGGAAAAAAATAATATACATATATATTATATATATTTCGAGTACTTAGCGAAAGACCATATTTTATTTTACCGAAACGGCAACCTTGTCCTGTCGTACTTTGCAAGCCTCTAATAGCCGCGGGCAATCAACAATTCATTGCAAAAAAAAATTACTACCAAAATGGTGAACGTATTGTTTACCTAAAGTAATGTTTTCCAAACGCAACACTGGCATAATGAAAAAACATAGTCGTCCAAGTCACGAGTAACTACTAAAAATCGCAGGCCAGAAATTTGGACCATTTACTTGGGATAACAAAATAAAATAAAACCATCGAAACTTAAATTACTTGATTTTATAGTATCTTTTTAGACCTTTAATATTATGATTTCACCATCTACAGATTTGCATCGTAAGTAGTCTATGCGTGTACTTGTTTTTTTTTTCCCGTTTAAATGTTTTTTTTTTTGTATTACTTATCTGAAAGTAAATTTCTGCGAATTTTGGGGTTAAGACTTTAAGATACGCTAGTATGAGTTTTCGGGCTGGGTCTAATTTTGGTTTGAATAATATATCGGGTTAATTTCTGGATGTTGTACCTGTCAGGGTGGGTGGGGTTGTTCTGTTTTTTTTTATGTTGAGCTAGATCGACCCGGGATAAAATAATTTCAGTGGTTCGACCCAATCAGGGCTCTACTAGCCAATCTAATAAAATGGTATATAAATATACATTTATTATATATTAGATTTATTATTTAGTCTTTAGTACATAGGTCCAGTTCAGGGTAACGTTATTTAAATCCTAAAATATATTATACTATTATGTAACGTTATTTGTGTAAGCGTTCAATGGACAAATCATTTTTTACGTTCGGTTCAGAGTGACGTTTTTTACAACGGTAAAATCGGTATAAAATGTTTTGCGTGTTAAACATTCAAAGAACAAATACATTTTTTGAAGTCAAGTTAATAATAAAGGTAATCGGTCGTTAAACGTTAATTCAACAAACTATTGTTTTAGGTTCAGTTCACGGTAAAGTTGTTTGAATGTATAAACATAGTATAACATTCAAATAAACGTAAAATTATTTAAAAAATATTTATATTAGGTTACGTTCAGTTCATTATTCAGTTGGAATACAACTTATGCAGTACCTACATCTTTTTTGATAAGAAAAGCAAATTTATTTTACACCAGAATTTAGCTGGACATTAATTATCCAATCATCTGCGGGTTTACGTCAACAGCAAATTGAAAACAAATTACACGTCAAAAACGGTGGCAAAGTAATAAAAGGTGCCATGTTAGATAATCCGTGACAGTTAATTTTATAATTTAACTAGAATTCAATTGAATTGAATAAATTACCACTACTGTGCTTACCAGTCGTGAGTACATTGGTTGCTGGCTGAAATGTGTGTTACTATGCTGAAACGGCTGCGATAACAACCGTCTCAGACTTCAGTTGTTTTTCAGCTTTTCACGAGCAAACGACATTTTTGTTGGAAATACAGTTTTTGCGTTTCAAGTATTATATCTAATATTCTGAAATATGTGCTCTATGGAGAAGATTTTGTGGGCCGGCGGCGCCGTTCTAACGGTAACTGGCGGCGGTTACCTGCTCTATAAGGTACGCGTATGAACATACATATTGTTTGATGACATGTTCAACGACACACCTTCGACCAGGGCTCGCTGTTTTGTCAGTGTCAGCACAATAGTTATTAGTTTAAATAAAAATTGTTCTCGTGTTCAAGGCCAAAAAGAAATGGTGGGACGCGGCACCGGTAGAACCCGCATCGGTAGAACTTGCACCGGTAGAACTTACACCGGTAGAACTTGCACCGGTTGAACTTGCACCGGCTGAACTTGCACCGGTAGAACTTCCACCGGTAGAACTTCCACCGGCACCGGTAGAACCCGCACCGGTTCAACTTGCACCGGTAGAACTTCCACCGGCTGAACCCACACCGGTAGAACTTGCACCGGTAGAACTTCCACCGGCTGAACCCGCACCGGTAGAACTTCCACCGGCTGAACCCGCACCGTAGAACTTGCACCGGTAGAACTTGAACCTGTAGAACCCGCTCCGGTAGAACTTGCACCGGTAGAACCCGCTCCGGTAGAACTTGCACCGGTAGTACCTGCGTGTTACTACCACGACAGATACGGGTCGGCGGCGCACAGATGTCGTCCTCCGTGCGGCTACAGGCCAACTGAGGCAGGACAGCCGGAGCCACCGTGTGTGTACCACAGGCGACACGGCGCGGATGCAGTAAACTGCATACTGCCGTGTGGATTTGCAGGAGTGCAGGAGTACGGCATAGGGGAGCCCGTACCATACTGCATATACCATCGACGGTTCGGTCCGGAGGCGGTGAACTGCCGAGCCCCGTGTGGCTTTAGGGCCATACACTGAGGTAACACATTCATTAGTTTCCACAAAAAGCAACATACTGCAACGCGTTGATAATATTTCTTTGTCAGTCTCCTTTTTTTTTCTCTCTGTTAATATTGAACCCAGGTATATTTAACTTGTTTGACTCTACTGAACTCATATCTACGGACTTTCAGGTGTGGAAAAACGGCCGTACTATCATGTTGGAGACCACTACAATTATTAGTTGTCTACGGCCGCCGTGTTTGAACCCATCACGTGGTTTTTTCTCTCTATCTATTCAAGCTGTCATCCCTGTGGTCGCATTCATTTTGTTGGCCGCCGTCTCAGCCATCCTCGCCGTGGTTGGCCGTCGACTAAGTTTTGTAAATTATTAGTTATTTAAAATTGTCCTGTTTATTCCCTTTCTCGTGAAAACCTTAGTGATACTAATACACTTAATTAATGATCACCTAATAAATATGTACTGTGTTAATACGGATGTTGTTGTTTAATATGTTAGGGAACTCGGGGCAATTGCCCTGGTGTCGAAACACTTAAGCTAAAATATTATGTACTTACTCGAAATAAGTTTATCGACACAAGGGCTTTAAAAACCAAATCGCTAATTTACTACTTTATCTATTTTACTAGAGCTTCGCTCTAGCTGGGGGCTCCGCCCCCAGGACCCCGAGTCGGGCGGGTAGGTCACAGATTCCTGGTACTGTACCCGGCTACGCCGGGCACGCTCACGTCCCCTCGCTGCAAAGTATTTTCGGGGAGGTCACAGATTCCACGGTATGTGGAAGTCAGTGCACAGCGGTTCCTAGGGGGGTGCCGGCTGCGCCGGCCACGGTGTCAAGCCATCGCAATACGTCTTAAGGAATGACGTTATAATTCATGGTACCTATAGGCTGTATGTAGTCATCAGAATTCATACCTAGTTATGGACAAATATTTGCAAGCTAAGTACTGATTAAGTGTAGAGTAAGTCTAGCTATGTATCTGTAATTTTTTTAAATTTTAAATTGAAAAGAATAGCTAGAAGTTAGACGGTTAATAAATATCAAGTGTCCGGTGTTGCTTACTTGGGTTGCTACCACTTTTACCAATTTTTATGAACTAACAATGTCCAGTTCCTTATCAGCGGGCGGAATTCGTATTGAAAACTGATAAGGACGGCAGGTCTCCGAGTGTTTTGGCATTCACTCGCTCCGCCAACTAAAAATATCCTAGGTTTGTAGGCTACAGTCTATGAGGAGGTAACAGGTTTAAAATTAAGTTTAAATTAAAATTTTAAAAAGTTAAAGAGGCTTGATAAGAAGCTGGCCATTGGGAAAAAGTGTACAATGGAAATTGTCTTTGGTAAAAGTTGTTATATTATAGACCACGTCATCAATATAGGCCGGCGTCATCCCGCTTAATTTTATGAGTTGAAAACAGATAAAAATGTCTAGAGGACAGTCAGCTAAATGTCTGTTAAGATTTACCTTTGTGAAACAAAATTTGTTTAAACGTAGTATGTTATATGTCTGTACACAGCAGTTCCGAGGGGGGTGCCCGGCCACGGCGTCGAGTCAGCTCACTACGTTTTAAAGTATACCGTTATAATTCATCGTACCTTTATCTAGTAATCATAGTTCATACTTAGTTTCGAAAAAGTGTTTTGCAAGCTAAGTACCGGTTAACTGTAGTGCAAGTCTAGCTATCTGTCAGATCAGAAACGTCCTACTACAAAAGCGAGTGTGCTACTTGCTTAAAGGACAATTTTTTTTTTTTTTTTAATTTGAATTGTTTGAGGTGTTGTTTACTTCACGGGCTTGGTAATAGCTATGGTTAAAAATAGAAAGAAATGTTTAGAGGTCAGTCTGTATATGTCTGATATGGTGTTCCTATGTGCAACAAAACTTTTTCAAACGTATACGTTATATGTCTAGATATTGGTTGAATTAAAATTCTTATTTGTTCAGAAATCACCGTCTATGCCATTATTCGGTAATGACGTACTGTACGTTTAGAATGTAACCAACAGCATAATGCATTAAATATGTATATTAAAGGTCTGGTGGTTTAACAGAAGTTCATAAGTGTTTAAGAATTCAAGAGTAAATCACATGAATGAAATGTCTAGAGTTTATATTAAAACTTAAAAGGGAAAGAAGTGAAGAGTGATAAATACATTATTTTGATTTTTGATCGACTATTTGGCAGAGCTTATAAAAATGTCCAAAATGAAATGTCTCAATGCAAATCTTTTAGTTTTTGGATCTGGACCTTTAATGCTAAAGGTACTTTGATACTTAAGGTCTGACGTTTGTTGGTTATTAGAAGTTTAAAAGTGTGGAAGAATGATATGTTTGTGTGACGGTTACTTAGGAACTCAAGAGTAGAAAACATGAATGAAATGTCTGAAATAATTTGTAGCAAATATTTTTGATTATTCGAGTGTCCGGCGGTGATTATAAAAACGGTCAGAGTACAAAATGATAATAATAATAATATTCAGTGCATAAAATACCTAAATTATTTGATACTTATCCAGACATATTTTATACATAATAGATAAATTGATATATACATTAATACTTTTTTAAGTAAACCATGAAAGGTATAAATCCATAAGTTGATATATGTTTAG